AAAAATTTTATTCAAATAAAATTATTTATTTGTTTATTTAAGGGCCTAAAGAAGCCTCAATAACATTGCCTCAACACATTCGTTGTTTGTGCCATACGATAAGTCTAATTGCCACAACAGATGTCGAGAGAGCTATTAAGGATTCTCCTAACATTTCTAAAATTCATCATCCTGCAATAGCTAAATGTACTAAGCTATGGAATGTAAATAATAGGCCTAAAACTGCAGAACTTATCAAAGCAGCTTTAGGAAAACAATTAGTTACACCTTGTTGCACTAGATGGAATAGTTTGTATGATAGTCTTCATAGTTTATTAAAATTTAAAGGCGAACTTCCTAAATTATGTTAAAAATTAGAATTTCCTAAATTAAGAGATATTGAAATTCAATATTTAGAAGAATGCAATATAATGGCCCCATTGGCTATATCGATTGACAAAATACAGAGTGAAATCAACTGCTATTATGAAGAATCAGCTCCAATTTTAAATGTCGTTAAAAAAAATTACAAATTTAATTCAAATCAATCTACAATTTTGCAAACCATTAGCTATTGCCATAGAAAATTATTTATATAAAAGATTCAAAAATATATATGATTTTGATAACAATTTTAAAAGTGCATTTTTGGCAACTATTTCTCATCCCGATTTTAAAAATCGTTGGATTGATGGTGAAAAAGAAAAAAAATACCTTCAGGATTTGTTATTACATGAAGTTTTAATTGTTTTTAAAAATAATATTGAAATTAATACTTCAACAAAATCTTCAATCGATGAAGATGATGATTACCTTTGCCTTAAAAGTACCACATCTAATTCTAAAAATTCAATAAATGATATTGAAATAGAGGTCCTAAATTATATGAAAGATGACAGGCGGAGTAAAAATATGTTAAATAGTTATAAATATATAAAAGAAATATTTATTAAATATAACACAATATTACTCTCCTCAGCACCCGTTGAAAGATTATTTAGCTTTGCTAATATGGTTAATAGACCAAATCGTCAAAGATTGAACGAAAAATTAATAATATTAAAAAATAATGCTGATTTATTATTATTTACTAATTATATAATTATTAAATGGAATATCGCATTATCTTTTATAATAAATTTGTTATTTTCTACAATTTATTTTAAATATTTTTTTATAAATTTATATTATAGATAAGAAAATAAAGCTTTATACATTTTGATTTTGACTATTTAAAGTTTTTTAAAAAAGTATCTTGTATCTTAGATTTTTTTTAAAAAAAATACAAGTATCTTGTATATTATATCTTATTGAAATTTTTCTAAAGTATCTAGTATCTTGTATCTTAAATACAAAATTTTATAAAGTATCTGTATCTGTATCCGAATACAATTTTCTGAAAATTTGCCCAACCCTGCTGGTCTGCTGTTCTTGATTTCATTTAAAACCATTTTTAAATTACTTTCCAAGACCGAAATCTTTTTCCAACAATCTGCCGACACCGAAGTGTCTATTTTCCAATTATCATATACTTTGGTCGCAACCAGAGTACAATTTCCAAACAAAAATTTTATTACAATATATATATAACATACAGTATGACCAACAATAAAATTGTCACTAATGCATTATTCACATCAAATTTATCAACCATTTGATACAAATCTTGATAATTAATACTCGGATACTCCGAAATTTTATTAAAGAAGCTAGGCTCACTATCAAAATTAAATATAAAGCTCATCTCATTATATGAAAAATTTATATTACTTTAAAACGGCCGTGTTAAATTTCTAAAAATTTAAACAAAAATATGATTGCGTTGTGTTCTGAGTAGAGATACAAAATATAAAATAAAATATTTTTTACCTTAAAATACCGAATAACCCTGGAATCGAAACTATCTTGGTAGTCGCGGTCAACAACTGTCAAAAAACACGTTTAAATGTTAACTATATAGAAAATTACTAAAACGAACAAAATTCTAAAATAAGAATACACACAGAAAGAAAACTACCTAATTAAAGAGCTAAATTAAGAATTATAAAATAAAGGAAACACGGAACTGAAACTTGGACTTATATCTTTATTAAGTAAAATATTTTTCTTTTTGAACTTATATCTTTATTAAGTAAAATATTCATCAAATTCATAAAAGTAAAAAGTAAAAATCAAAAGTGAAAAAGTATTATAAAAATTAAAAAAAGTGATTCTTTATCAAAAAATCAACAATATATATCGATCTCTAATATAAAAAAATGACTGACATTTCTTTAATTATATACAATATATAAACAAATATATATATATATATTGATTGACATTATATTATAAAATGTATCATTTACGACACCGTCGTTATTGAGATATTTATAAAATTCCTGGCATGACATATTATATATTTGTTTAACCATTAGCTCGACCTCTAATGTTGTTAAAGCGATCCGATTTCTCTCCTTTTTCCAGGCAGTCCTCATCAGTCTAAAAATGCGCTCGGATGAGGCATTAGAATGAGGTAAGGAGAAGACATACTCGCATAATTTTTCCAAGCATGGGGATTTATCGTTATTACGAAAAAATTCTACCCATTTCCCCTCTGCTTTTAGACCATCTAACTTTAAATATTTTGGCGAATCATAAAAATTAGAGAGAATTACAATCTTTTCAAACAAGTCAACAATGTCTTTCGGCATTTTTAATATATTTATTAAATTATAAAAACCATCAATTGATGGCTGTTTCAAGGTCATAATATTAATACATTTGTAAATAGAGTTATTAAAATTAAATTTTGATTGTAAATATTCTAAAATTGTCTTAATAAAAATATCTGCATCATTTAAAAATGTATTAAATAGAGTATTATTTGAACATTTTAATATAATATTTTTAGCAATAGCGCCATAAAATTTATTATCAATTTTTAACTGTAGAGATGAACAGAGCTGTAGCATGATTTTGTAAATCTTTTTAAATAAAGAATATTCTGATTGCAACTGAATATTAACTGCATTAAGTAGATTTCCTACATGTGAAACTAATCCCAAATATGCTTCTGATTTTTCAAATTTTAGGACAGCTTTTAAAATCTTTATTTAAAAGTATTTTTTTAAGGGTTTGTAAAATTTTAAAATTATATCGATGGCAGGTATTAATGACAACCACCTGATAGGTATATATCGTAACAACTCACACCATTCCAAGTCAGACCACTTCACCAACTCTTTTAATTCATTAACTCTTTTAGTTGATGAACTAAATTCGGTGAAACATTTCATCACAATTATTTCGAAATCCACAGATAGTACATTCATTGCCTTATTGTAAGAATTATGTAGTATATGGCATATACAGCCAATTGGTATTAATTATTGTGCTACCTCAATTCGGTAACTTTGGTTTTTGCCAAAATTTACAGAAGCATTATCAGCGCAGAAAGCGGACATGCAAATCATTGATAACCCTGAATCAGCTATATTTACCATTATGTGGCTAGCTACATTGTTAGATTTTTCACTATCCGAGGAAAAAATATTGACAGTTTTATTGAAATGTTCTTATTCTTATTGAAATAGCGAAGGATCGAGGGAAATGTTTTAATATTTAACTTATTAGATGCATCTGTTAGAATTGCAAATGGATGCCCATCTTTCAAATCGTCTAGAATTGATCTCTAGGATTCAGGTACGACCCACATTGTGAAGAAATAGCTCTGTGAATGTTACGATTTCCTCAAATGTAGTTGCATCTGTATTATTTACTATTTTTGAGAATATTTTTGTATTGCAATTGATGTAGATTTACTCCCCTGTACTGACTTATATGAATGAAAGACTTATTCTTGGATAAAAATAAAACAGGATAGAAAGAAATTTTCAAACTAGACATGTTTTTTGAATAAATATTTAAAATTTATTTTAAAAATGAAAAATAATCAATTAATGTCCATCAAAATTATTATTTATATATTAAAAACGTTAAAATACTAATAAAAAATTGCGGTAGATTTTTGCGGGAGATTTTCAATTGCGATATTTTTGCGGGAGAGAGATGTCTGCGTGTAAACTAAAAAATTGCGGGAGTCTCCCGCTGATGGGGGGGGCAACCCTGATCCCAACACCAAATTGGAAGGGGCTTAGGAGACGTGAAGCATGCTTTATTCGAGAAGATATCATCTTGGCAACTAAGTGACGAAAGGTGGAACCGATACCAATTGATCTGATATTATAATTGGGCTTTTGAAGTTCAATTAGGCTAGCACCGAAGAGAATTGGAGAAACTAAGCTTGGTCTTCACCTTTTAAAATTTTATTGCAAAGGTTTGTTATTTTTGGGAGTTTGTGAGTATGTTGAGGGGAAATTATCTCCTGGAGAAAAATAGAGCAGATTTTATCTAGACCATTGGCAGAATCACCATGAAAGGGAAGGATAGCTTTCCTAACTTCTTCAGAAGTAAAAAGAGAAGTACAAGTTGAGTGAGGTTGAAGGGATATTGGGATGATTGCTGTGGGGTAGTTTTCGACAGAGCTTTATAATAAGCATTTTTTATTTTCTTCTTCAATGCTTATTTTTTAAACATAAAATTACATAATACATTCATATGATTTTCTCTTTATTAAAAAAAAATAAACAATATTAAATTTGCTTCCCTCATGTATATTTTTTTTAACTTAATAAAGTAAATTTTTTAACATAGTAAAAATAATAGTAATTCTTTTTAATGCAGTAAAAATATTATTAGTATTTTTTACGTTATATAAATTATAATAAATCTTTTAAACGAAGTCAGATTAGTTTTTTTCTAACAAATAATAAAGATTATATTAAGTTTCTTGAAAGCAAATCAAGATCATAAAAATCATTACTCTTGTTAATATTTGAGCATTTTATAGGAAAAATGGGAAGTATTCACCAAAGTTTAGGAGGCATACCTTCACTCGGGACCACTTATTGTCTGTCGATTTGACTATTCATTAGGCTAATGTTTAGCAATTATGATAATAAAGCGAAAATGTTAGCGAACTCTTTTTGTGCCATAATTAAATGGCTCAAGCAAAATTTGAAAAATTGGGAACAATATATACTCGGTAATTTTTTAAGCTAACACCCTAATAAAAGTAGTATAGAATTAAAGGTCTAATAAGAGGTGGTGCTTTAAGGTTTGAAGATCGTCCATTATGGTACGATATATATGAAAAATATCCGCCAATAAACACCCAATCTGTTAAAAATCATATACCAAAGCTAATATACCCTGAAGATTATATAAGAGCGTAATTATATATTGATTATTTAAAATGTTGATTTATTCAGTTATTTTTATGATAATATTGGACAAAATGGTATTATAAATTTGTTAGACCCAAAAACAGAAACGATATGTCAAAAGTTGGATTTATATTTTTTTTAACATTTTTTAAAAATAAACACTAGATATGTTGAAAAATATTGTGAGATTTTACAGGATTCAACTGATGATAATTTACAGCTCTTTGAAAAGACCAAGAATGCTTTAGAAACAAAAGGAATAATTAAAGACAACAAATTTTTTAACAAAAATATCAATTAATTTTAATATTATTTGTAGAATAATAAAAATTTTTTAAAAATCTAAAGATAATTTAATAAATTCAATCATTAATTAAAGATTTGTTTTGCACAAAAAGCTTTATTTTAGTTATCAAAGCTCTTAAACTATTTATGGTGATTAATATTTAATAAATTACTTTTATTTGTTTAAAGATTGATTTAAAATAACTATTATATGAAATGGCTATTATTTATTGTTACAGTATTTTATTAGAAGCACAGAGTTTTATTACAAAATTGTCATTTATTAATTACCAGTATAAATAAAATATGTCATGTCAGTATTTTAATTAATAATAAGTGAAGCCAAGCAAAAATATTCCCAAGGCTAGGTCAGGCAAATTTTGTCAAATATTTGTATAGGTCAAGCTTGAATTTTCAAATTATGTCCTTTTTCTTCATAAAAAATATTATAGGCTGGTTAGACACTTGCACAAAATATATTTTATTGACCAGGCTAGGTAAAAATAGCACTGTGTCAAGCTGAAAAATTTTCAAGATTTAACCTATGCTGCACTGGCTTTGAATTTTAGTGCCTAATAAAAAATATTCATTAAATATAGTTTTCTTTTTAGTATTTTAATAGATTTTCCAGTAAATTTATATTTTTTCCCAAGTAAATGATTTGTCTATAAACATATTTTCCCAATATTTTAAATCATTATATAATTTAATTTATCAATAAAAATAAATCCATTATTTTAATTAATTAATCTTTATAAAACTAAATTTTACAATTAATAATTACTATAAATGACATGGTGTTAGTTATATAGTAATTATTAAAACATAAATTTGTTTTTTTTATTTTTAAATATTTCTATTATAAAAATTAATTGATGGGGATTATGAAATGATAATTCTTCAAAAAGATTTGTCTTTACAACTAAAAGATTTTTTGTAAAATTTTGGATTAGCTTAGAAGTATTTCTATGAACCTAGTTCATAAAATTTACTTATTATAAAACAAGTGACAGCTTTATATTTATAAACTTCAAATTTTTTTAAGCTTATTTTATGATTCTCATTTTTAAAAGTAGCTAGAAAATATTACAAATATACTTGTAACTGAAAATAATATAAATAACAGGATATTTATATTCTAAAAAAAATTAGTTATAATAAAATTCTATTTTCAAAATAGGTGTCTAAAAGGTGTGCTATTTTTTCTCCAAAAATATGTTTCACTAGATAATCAAATATACTACAGGAGTACTAACTCTAAGTGAGACATTACTAATTAGTAATGAAAATAACTGTTTTTATTGCTGCATTCAAAAAATACAAATAGTTAAATATTTCGAAATTACAATCAGTTGTACATTTTCAGATTGAACGTTTTTTCAAAGCGGTTTCTAGCCATGTCAGCAACAGAAAATATTTTTTTTTGAAAACTTTGGGTAATATCTCACGTCATTAAGCGTCTGTGGGCCGATGCTGCGGCCTTGTAGATCAACACGTATATCACTTACCGTAAAAATCTTGGACTGAATCCAGTTATGATCATCTGAAGTTAACTAAGTGGATTTGTGATACGATCTATTTTAACATAATAGTTCGGAAGTGACCGGTTGATTCTATCACTTAATATATATATATATCTATTAATAATGGATCTTATTATATTTTAAAGAAATTCGTCGTTTATCAAATTTGGTTGTTTGGCAAATTGCTATATGTTGACAAAGTAGTAACATTAACCTTATATTTATTAATTACACATTAATTTTAATATATATATATAAATTTTAATAATTTAGACCTAATTTTTGTAAAATCGATTCAAAATTTGAAATCCTTGAAAATTTAGGAAAGGAAATATCAGGAAAAAGCGCTTTCAACATGAAAAAGAGCCCAGTGATGCACTCACTTTAAATTAAATAGTTTTATTTAATAAATTATTTGCATCATCAAAAATACAAAAAAAATATTAGTTTACGATTCTAGTTAAACTCTGTAAATAATTATTGCTTGCTATCTATAAATTTTAAATAATTATCTTATTAAAAATTAAATACATATCTGATTTTTGATCAAATTATATTATAATTTATGCAAAATAAAATCAACGAGCCGCGAATTTTTTTTTATAAAGGACAGGACAATTTATACATTATCAGGCAGGGCCTCACAAATCTTTTCTTTTCGTAAAATTTTAATGGGTCAGCCTTGGAATTGAAATTTTAATATATATTTTAAAATTTCAAGCTAATATTTTTATTTTATTATATTTGAAAATAAATTACAATATGCTTATTTCTTTGTATTTTAAGAGCTGTTTAAATAAATAATATAGCAAATTCAAATTAAGCAATTTATTTATGATATGATACAATACTTATGCACAATACTTATACAAACACATTATTTATACTGTTGTGAAAATAGCTAGCCATAGAGGAGAGATATAAGAAATTAACATTGGGGAAATTTATTTATAAATATTAAAAATGTGATAGCTGAAAATTGGTACAAAAAATTTAACGGGCCAGGGCGAACTTTTTAAAAAACTATATGCCTGAGAAAAGAAATTTCAGGCCGAACAACGTGCGAAAATCTAAGCGAGCCAGGCTCTGCAAACATATAATTTAATTTAAATATATATTAGATATTTTAATTTATTGTTAATAATAACAATTTATTCGTTTTTTAAATATATTATTATTTAAACCGTTAATGTAAGATAAAAAGCCCCTTATATTATAATATAAATATTTAAAATTTTTATTTTAAAGGAATGTTTAAAGAAATCTAATAAACCAAAAACCTGGTCTCAGAAAAAAATGGTCATTGAGGGATTGATATTACCTTATTTCTTACTCATAATTATTTTAGATATTTAGACTTAAAATTAAATTATTTTTTTATTTATAATTGCCTCACCTCATATCTAGCTAACCTTTATAGTAACCTCATATAATAAATTAATTTCAAGCCAGTCGTTAGTTAGATTTGTGCTAATTACTTCTAAAATATATCTATAAAAGACAACAAATTATTCGGAAATTTTTTAAAAAATGGGCAGTATTTAAATTAAATGGTCGAAACACATATAGATACAAATTCTAAAAAAGTGAAAATCTTCAAAACATTTTTAGAAATAATTTATTAACAAATACATTTATATTAGAGATCTGAAGCCTCAAGAATTTTTGCACAAGTTGTCCAGCCCGAAAACCAGGCCCGGCCAAGTATTATTTTTTTTTAATTTGCCCAGCTCAGTTCGATCCGTTTATACGATAAGTCAGACCTAGCCCGTTAAAATGTACCAAAAGTCTGCCTTGGTTCGTTAAATATTTTTGTACAAATTTTCTCGTCTACATTTCTAATATCGTTAGCTAATTTTTTTCCGATGCCAATTAAGGCTTTTATATCTCTCCTCTATGACTATATATTTATACGTTTTATAAATCAATTGTTTGCTGCGCATTTGTAATTGTGATATTTTATTAATTGTCCGGCATGGCCCTATAAATTTTTTATACACGATTAGCCCGGCTAGTTTTATTATTTTTTTAAAATATATCCCGGCTTTTTTTAATTTTTCTTTAAAATTTGATCTGATATTCGTAGAAAATCGACCTGATAACCGATTAGTGAAGGTCACGGTCCGGTCTTTGGTCCGGACTGGACCGATACCCTAGGACCGGACCGGACCACCGTCCTTAAGAAAAAGATCGATCCAGACCGTGGTCCTAAATAAAAAGACCGGTCTTTTTATTTGTTTAAAAAACATATTTTTTTAACCTAATTTGATTTGTTTTATCATTTTATTAAATATAAGAGTATTATATAAACAATAAAATTTATCCAATGGTATTGAAAAAAATGATTTTGTGCTTATAGAGGGCATATTAAAATTAAGAGTAGATTGTGTTTTTTGAGATATTTTCATTTTCATCATTAGAAGTATATATTTTATGTTTTATCAGATGTCTGCTTAAGGTACCTAATTATTTTATTAAGAATAAGGTTAAGTAATTTTTACAATAAATTATACAGACAGTTTCTTTAAAAAAATAGAACTATATAATAAGTAAAATATTTTAATAATATTATTGCTTATTTTGATTAATTTATTGCTTAAAAAATTATAAACAATTATTTTGTTACTAGGTGCTGACGATACATTAAATTTTGTACTGCAGTGAACACATACTCTATGTTTTTATTGGGACTATAAGTAAAATGTTTCTTGGACAAACTTATGCTTTTCATATTGTAAAATAAAAATTAACAAAATCTAAAATGACTCCTCTAGAAAAATATCATAAAATATACAATAAAATTATATTAATTGTATAGTAAAGCAAACTTAAACAATAATAAAAGACCGGTCCGGACCGCGATCTGGACCGTAAAAAATAAAAAGACCGGTCCGGACCACGGTCCTCAAGAAAAAGATCGGTCCGATCCCGGTCTAAGACCGGACCGTTGACCTTCACTATAACCGATCCAATTTAAATTGTTATTTATCTACCATCTATCTTTGAACTAACAAATCTCATAAAAAATTAATGTGTTTGATATTTTTCCGGAAATGTGTTATTTTTTCAAATTGAGCGCGTTTAAATCTGATTTTACCACAATATATTTCAGCATGTTAAGAATACCTATCTTATGAATTTTAGATCATTTTACGGTTAAACTTTAAGTCATTTATAATTTATATAAAAACTCTATGCAAACCCAATATAAATATTAAATTCAAAAGTGTCTGAAATTCATGAAAAGAATGATAAACATAGGATGGAAAATCGTATGAGGTTGGAAAATAGGGATTTCAAAATGGAAAATCTGCTAGGTATTCTAAACATGCTGGAATACATTTCCGGTAAGATCAGATTTTTAAATTTTAAAAGACTCACTCAAAAAAATATTTAAAGTTGAAAAAATAACACATTTCAGGAAAATACACAGCTAGCATATACAATCCATCTTACCATGATGACGATATATTGAATTTTCAAAATTATCGTAGATACCGTTTGATACTCTAGTCATTGGTAACTTCATCGTAATTCTATATTATTATAATGTAATTTGGTGTTTTGCCAAAAGAATCTCTCCCTATACTAGAATTAAATATATCTAAGCATCTAAGTTGTAGAGAAAGTATATTATTTATTTATAGTAGTGTTGTTAAACGCCTCGTTTTGAACCGATTTTAAAAACGAATAACTCAATATTTTATCCAGAAAAATATTACGCAAGCCTGAAGATTTTGCTCATAGAAGGAACATAGGTCTAGACATATATTATCGAAATCTCCGGTTTAACAACACTAATTTATAGGAATAAGTCTCTATGTTTTCGGAATGTCGATAATTAATTTTTTAGGAAACATTTTTGCTAGACAGCATAAAAGTTATTTAAATAATTAATGGTTCATAAAATCTCAAAATTACCATTAATATTATAAATGCCCATATTTCAATTGCAGGAAATATAAGAAAAATAACAGTGAGTTTTTGAATCAGTTCATGCATAGTTGGTGACTATTTATTCACAAGCCTTAGACTTAAAAGAAGGCTGCATAATGAAAAATATTTTTATTTTTGAAATCATAACATGTACTATTATATAATATTTATTTTATATTCGACAATGATCTAAAACATCATTCACATAAGTAAAAAATTATTCATATAAACATGCTTAATAGTATAAAAACTTATAAAGGGTATATAAACTAATATATGTATCTTTTAAAAATTTATATAAATAATTTTTAAAAAATGAATAATTTTGCTCAAAAATATACATACAATTAGTAGTTCGTTTCATGATTAGCGGGAAAAAATTAAATAATCTATAACTATTTTATTTACTTCTGGGATTCCTAATGAGATATAAGGATACGGAAAAAAAAAATTTCTGATAAGATTTAAATAACTTTGGTGCATTGATTTTTTTATACAAATTTAGTAGATTTGTGAAAGCCTTAATATTATGATAATAATTCAGAAAAACACAATATATTGTAAGTAAAAAACTTTTTTTTTCTAAATTGGTTTTAAAGATTTTTATAAGACGTATAATATATTTCCTTAAATAAATCTTGATACTTGTTAAAAAATGTATTTTCTACAATTTATAGACTTGCATTTGCATGCTATTCTAAGAGATGCCGCTTTTTTGTATGATTCGTTGCAACGAGGTGCTTTTATAGACCTATTTGGTCGTGACTTTGAATTTTTTTGTTCGGGGAATTGATTCAATTTCTCGTAGATAATATTTTTGTTATCATATGAACGTTTATTGGAGTTACCATTAGGAATGAAGTCGGAAGGAGAAGGTCGTTTCAAGGCATTAGAAATTGGTGCGTTTAATAAAATATCATTGGGGTATAGAATTAATGAGTTATTCAAAGAATGGTCTGTAAATGCCTCCTTTTCTATGACCGTATCTGGAGGAGTGTCTTCCAAGTTAATCATTTTATTGGCCACTTCGGCTTTCAGCAACTCAATGTCTGGTTTAATGTCTTCCAATATCAATGATTCACTATTTTCGTTTGACATTGAATCTTTGGATACGAGTGAGGAAGGTGGAGTTAGAAGGTCTAGATTATGGGCAGGAGAAACATAACGATTTAATGAAATATTAGCGTAATTGAGGTCCATAAAGTAGTAATGATGTTTAGCCATCGCTTTATTAATTCTATTTGAAGGAGATTTAGTAATAAAGCCTTTTTCAGATTGAAAATTATTGTTGGCTATTACAAAAAAAAATTAATTTAAAATAATATAAAATTGAATTTACCTGAATTAAGATAATCAAATGTCAATTCTTCCCCTTTAAGTATATCTTTGCGGGCGAATAGAGCAATTCTCGGTAATCTTATATCCAAATTGTTAATATATACTGCATATACGACCAAATTTGGGTCACACTTATATTAATTTTCAAATATTATAACAAAAAATTTTTTTTACTGAATGATTAACGAAATGTGATATATTTCCATAATAACCAGCATCAACTGTAAAAGCATTATCTTGATCACAGAAATCTAAATCAAAAAGATAGGTTATGCCATTTGAATCATAAATTTGTCCTCTTTTTTCTGCCTCTTCATTAGTGATTATCTTCATAAAAAATGTATTTAGTATGAGTATAGTGCCTTGAAAATATGAAAATAATTTAGCACCCCCCCCTTCCATTTTTAGAAAAATCAAGAAAATGAATTTTAAAAATAAATGTTTAATAAGCATATTAATAACTTATCATGAGATAAAAATGAAATGTATTATAAACACAAATAAATAATTATGTTAAAATTTCCAGGAATTATGAAAAAAAAATTTCCACCACGGCAATATTGGGAATTTCCCGGGCATTTTGGTAAACTTATTGAAAATGTCCCAAATTGGCTTAAAAATCAATAAATTTTGACAAATTTTTTTAGCCTAAAATGATCAACGCTTGACTCAATAAATTAGATATACTGAATAGAATAAAACCAAAAGAGTCTTAATCGAAATATATATAACATTAATTAATTCTTCTTCTATAATGATAACATTATCTGCTTATTTCCATTTTCTAAAATTTCAGGAGTTGAAATAACTGGATAATTATATGTAGTATCAATATTTTATGTTGTAAATATTATACTTCATGAATATTAACTTTTCCACAAGTTTATTAATAAGTCTAATATGATTTTTAGATTCTTCCAAAATAAGACCCCAAATTCTCTCCGAAGCAGCAATCGTTGGAGGAATTGATAAAAGTCTTATAGGATGGTGTAGAGAAAGGTCTTTCCATCAAATCAAAGGTAAAACATGCTATGCACTTTCCCTTATTCCCACGTTTTCCCAAAAACCACTCTTTGATCGGAATTGGTTAAAACAACTCCGATATCAATATTGAATTCTACAATTAGGGCATTGACTGCAGCCATATCAGATGATATTTCATCATTGGTTAGTTCAACATTGAAATGAAGATTAGATATGTTTGCAGGGCAAAATAATTAATTAAATATTCCCGAGAATATGCCCGTTTCCGGATTTTATAATAGTAACCCTGATTTCGATCGGTTCATTAATTTAATAACGCCGTGTAAGTGACGTCGTTTCCCCAAAAAACAGTGTTAAAAACAAGTCATGAATTAAGGTAACAACGCATTATTTTTTAAAATTATATCTCATTACATTCCTTTCAGTTGTAGTATTTTTTATTTTATTATTCTAAATGGTGTTGGGGCATTCCATGTCAAATGAGTAAAAAAATCGAGATTTTCGGCCGACCCCTTCGAATTTTGATTAAAAAAATTGAGGCACGTTATATATGTTCTAGTAATATCTGAAACGAAATTTTAGCTCATTAGCAATTAAATTATCGGAGATAATGGGGAATAAAGGTATAAAAATAGGCTTTTTTAACCTTTTACTGTTGTTAAATATTTAGTTTTAAATTAAAAACTAAATTAGTTCGAATATTGAATCCAATATTAATACTATCAATAATTGATAACTAAGGGGGAAACATACAAATTAATTTCTTTAAATATTGGTCATCGTATGCCCATTTGACTTAATATTAATATTTCGAATATATCATAGGCTTCGATTTTTTAAATTTAAGTCGATTTGTACCTTTAATTCCTATTATCTCCAGTAATCTAAATGTTAAAGAGCTAAAATTTCGTTTCAGATATATAACATATATATAACGTGCCTACAAATTTTTATCGAAATTTAAAGGGGTCTGTCGAAAGGTGTTTAATTTAATTAACATGGAATGACCTATTACTATTATTATAGAAAGTAGTAAGAATACATTATTATCATCATTACCTTTACCTTGGTCTGAATTTGGAGGAAAAATGGGGGGGGGGGGGGTTCTTAAAGATAAGAGAACTAAATATTTACAATGTGAGATATTTATCCTCTAAAACAAAGATATCTGCATTAAGAAATAGTTGTTTAAGCCTGAAAAACAACATTCTTTTTATTTAAATTTTATGCCTTATTATTTTTTAGAATGTGCTTTCTTTAAGATTGAGTAAGAAAAGAGTTTACATAGAAAGAATCAACCGATATTTTATATCGGAATATCGGGCCTATATTTCATCTATTTTAAAATATCGGTTATCGGCAAATATTATAAAATGTTCCAATCCGATAAAAAATGGTACTTTTAACAAAAATAAAATATTGTAAAATTTTAAAAAAAGTAACCATTTATTTTTATAAATAAAATCGAAATCCATTTTTATGTTTAATTTTTTTAATAGTAATAATTAGTTAATAAACATTCTGCCATATTGTTATTTTTTTTCGCATTCTGTTTATAAAAGTGTGCAATAATCTCTTCAGAATCTGTTTTTAGTGAAGCTAGTGATATTAACAGTTTCCATCACCGCAGACTGACCTCCGATAAATTGGAAATTTTGGTATTCAAAAAAGAAATCTTCGATATATTAATTTTAAATATTTATTTCAAATTTCATAATATATTTGTTTATTACTAATTATGTAAATAAGTGATTTATCAATAAAAATATTTTATATACTTTTAGAATTGCAATTGAATATAAATGATAACTGATCATTATAATATATTTAAATGACATATGTTATGGTATAGTTAAATTATAGATGTTATACTTATAAAAAGTATATTAAAAATTAAAACCATTGATATCTTTACAGAATACAAAATTAGATATGATATCGGATCGGTAATCGGTCGATATCAATTTAATATATGGAATATCGGATGGCCTCCAAAAAGTGGTATCGGTACACCCCTATTTCAGACAATAATTAAAAATAAACAATAAAATCAATGTAACAAGTTAACGCGAATAAGCTTATTTTATTATATCAGCAACAAACTTTTATCCGATGCATTTTTTTGGCGAATTTTTTACAATACATGCCATTTATAGCAAAGATGACAGGAAATTATTTTCCATGAAACTTTTATAGCGAAGATAATATCGTGAATCCATTATAGAGAATATATTTTCGGACCTAAACCGCAAACACTTAAGAGCAAAATTTTTATCGTGAAGGCTAAATCATCAATATTTTTTAGCAAAACTTACATCGAGATTTCCTTACTGCGAATGTCTTATAGCCAACCCATTGTAACAAATTTTTTATAGCAAATACATTTACGCAGTAATTTTGAGAGCGTTATCATCAGGGATCGGAACCGAAATGCATATTTGTATAAGAATAACGGTTTAAGGTTCAGGTTCAGTTCATAAAAAATAAAGATATCGGTTCGATTAGAACTGTTAAAAATATTTTATACAAAAATAAAGATCAAAAATTTTTTATATAAAAATATACATTTTGTCATTTATAATACTATATGTAAATAATTAGTATATTGGATTCAATTTATTTCTAGGTTATAATCTTAAATATGTTGTAAAATGGCAATATACAAAAGTTTATAAAAAATGTGGCTAACACTTATCAATCATAATTGATTCGATTGCAGCATACATTATTTTATAATCACAAAATCATGAGGCTCGAACCGATTCACAAACATTTTAGCGGTTCGGTTCAGGTTAGCATAGAAAATCAATTAACGGTTCCGGTTCGGTTAGATAAAAAATATCGGGTTAAAGGTTCGGTTTGGATCCCTGATTATCATGAAATAATGAATATATTGCAAATTACTAGAAAAACAATAGATTCAATAGTCGCAAGTACGAAATGCTTTTACAAGTATTTAGTTATTTCAGAATAAATAAAAGTTGGCAATAATACGACCTTTTTTGGATGTGGAAAGAAAAACTTATCAATTTATTTCTGGTTGCTCTCATTCATGGTCGTATGTATGTGGGAAACATCTTGGGGCCAGTTTTACACCCCGATATATTTATTCCTCCACCTCATGTAAATTTTGCACATTTAAGAAATTTGCATTTGAAATACAATAATATGCTAAATATTCCATAATTAACATTTGAAAATTTATATGATATTAAACTACTATTATTAGTTTTAAGGGTTGAAATAGAAGTAATTTTAATGTATACTAAATATGCAATAAGGCCTCTCCAATGCCCCTGCGAATAAAATCTTGTTATTACTTTAAAATTTATATTGGAAAGAATTTCATCTTGTATGAAATATACTTGTTGAATTACAGACAATTTTGCCATGAACTTTTGAACTTATAAAATTTATATTAGTTTTCCATAGATTTTTTATATAAATTACTCAAAAAATTTGCCTAGAATTCATATGATATGTATCTAAAATGCTGGAATATATTTCCATAAAAAATTTGATTTTTAATATTTTAAAAACACAACTCAAAAAATTATTTAAAGTTGAAAAAATAACATATTACCAGAAAAAGCAAATTGCAGCTAACATGTACATTAATTATATCAAAATAAATTGATTAAAATAAAAATACTTTTCAAAATTAGTAACTTTGATACAAATTAAGCAACTTTCAAAAACCAGCAGACCACTACTGAACCCCTGTGACTATAGTTTAAAACTAACTATCAATTTAAACTGGAACAATAAATAAATGATCAAAAATTTGAATGCATAGTTAATAATAATAAAATACAATTTAAAATCAAAATTAACAATGAGGGGGTAAATACTATATGATTTGTTCAACATTCTAAATATAAAAAAATTAAAATAATCAAGAATTATAATAAAAATATATAGGAGCCAATTCAAAGATTAAGTAATCTTTAGATTGCATAATAATTAATAGATATTTCTAGTAATTTTTCAAAATTAACTTGTGATAAAGATTATGATAAATAATTATAAAAAAAATTTTCTTAGAGTAAAAGTATGCCCAGAGTTGGGTAGTACCACGAATACTTGTATCTAAGATACAAGATCCTTTTGTATCTTGTACTCAGTATCTTTTTCACATTTTTAATAAGATACTCTGTATCTAAGATCCTTTGTTCTGAAAAGAATCTTGTATCTTTTTCATTTTCTTGACAAAAGATAGATTCTTTTTAATATTCATGTTTAAAATTTTACATATCACAGTATATATCTTATTTTCTTCAAGAATCTTGTATTAATTTACTTATTTTTTTCCACCATATTTTAAATATAATGGCAATCAAAATAGGTAGATAAATAAAAAATAACAATACCAAAAGGAAATATGTAACGATTATATTTTATATATAAATGTAACTCGATAGAATATCGTGACTAATTTTATGTAATATTTTTTTAATTTGTAGGATGATTAACACTCATGGTAGTGAAATTTAAATAATGGAAATAAGTTCACGTGAATCAAATCTAAATCTTAAAATTTTATATGTAAATTTTTTTAAAATAAAGTTAAAAAAGACAATGTACAAGCTAGATGTAAAACCTATATAAACAAAAAAATGATAAATGGTTAAACACAAATATGGGCAAAAGATTTTAACAAAATATTTTTCTATGATTTAAATATAATGTCTTTTTTTGACATCAATATCACATCCATATTTTAAGATTATGGATTGAGTCAGATGATAAAAAAAAATACTTTCAAAATATATTAATAAAAGAAGCCCTAAATATAGTACCAGAGTATATAATCAAGCTCAAACTATAACACCAATAGATCTAACATCTAATAAAGAAAATGATGATTATTTTTCTTTTGGTGAAACAATTGTTGCTGAGATCAATAATGCAAATAACATTTAACTGAAGGTTTTAAATTATATTAAAGAAAGTCAAAATACATTATAAATGCTTAATTATTATCCTTTTATTAAGGAAATTTTTATAAATATAATACTGCAATACCTCCATCAGCTACAATTGAAAGTATTATAATGGCAAAGGTCTAATGATAAATTATTTGAAAAATTTGATTATCTTATAAAATAATGAATCTATTTTAAATACTTTTTAAATAAATATTTTAACTCCCTTTAAAAATACTAGTCCCTCTTCCCTATCTATGTTAAGAATGGGCATTACTAATATTAAAACCTGATTATTATAATTAACTCATCATTAAATATTTTAATAATTATTGTAAATATTCATTCTTATTATATGTATATGTTCTTCATAAATAAATAATAAAAACTGTATTTTATAAACTATTCTTTAATTGGCAATGATAATTTAAATGTATCTTACATTTAAGATACTCTAATTAGGCAAAAGATATAAATATCTTTATCTTTTTGATATTTTGAAAAAGACACTAGTATCTGTATCTAAGATTCATTTTTTACAAAGAATCTGTATCTAGATTCTTTTTTTGGAGGAACTGCCCAACTCGGAGTATGCCCCACTATAAATTTAAAAAAACATGTGTAATATAATAAATTATAATATTTACTTCTCCAATATATTCCATAACAAATGTGTTTTTATATATTCTTTGTAATGTTTTGACACCCCATCCTCGATTATCATCAGTCTTAAAAATAGAAAATTTAAATTTCGAATTTCCTTTTTGTACAACCCTGAATCGACATAAATGAGGATCACATTTACATAATTTATTGCATTCATATATGGGAATTCCTGCTTTTAATATGATTCTCCCATGTTTATTATATGGAAAATTATATCCTGACATAGAACTGCAACACACTTTATTTCTTTTCCAACCAGATAACTTTTGTGGAAAACTTCTTACACATGGTTTATTGTCAATTTCTAATATGGGTTGACAATTGTTTTGACATGTACATCCAATTGGAGGATCATCTGATATAAATACATTTTCCCCAGGAATATAATCATTTATAAAAGTAAAATTTTTTGGAGGATAAGAGTTATCAATATTATTTTCAACTATTATTTGATTATAACCTATAATATTATTTATGTAAATTTCCCATTCTTTTAGAGCATTTTGAAATTTAACAAATTTGTGTAATTTATCAAGTTGAGTAGGATAATTTGATGGCAGATTTAATAATATTTTGACATCATTATATGAGTATATTTGGTGTGTCCTTGGATTTATCATAATATTTTTAAATCTATCTATTTTATTTTTATTAAAAAAAAATAAGATTTTTTCATATGGAGATGAAGAATTATGAGTTCGTGTATAATTAAATTTATTGATTAAATGTTTGCATTTTAGGAGATTTTTAGCTGGTTCCCAAGTATTATAGGTATCATCCCAATTTTTCCATTTAATATAATAGAATTGAACATTCTGAAAGGCTATATACTATATTGAAACACAATTTATTTTACTTTTACACTAACATAGTCTAAAATACCTTCAACTTCAAACTCAAAATCATTTGTATAACCTAATAACAAATAAATTGTTATCAAAATATTAAATATATTTACGTTTGCTTGACATCCATTTACTAGATTGCGAGCCATCAAGTAAGCCTATATTCCTCAATTCCAGTTTGGAAAATGTTACAAGAGATTTCAAGTCGTTATGAGTATATAAACATGGTATCTCTAACAATGCACCATTTTCTAATGCCTCTTGTACATAATGCAGATATCTTCTAGTTGATATGAACGCCATTATACTATATAGAAGAAATTATCATTGTATGATATGAAACTCCATGTAAACCGCGCAAATTCAAAACCACTCTTATTCACCTTACATAAAAATGTTACCTAAAATATATTATTTCTTTTCAATATTTTATATTATTATTTTCTCATATAAAAAATATTTCTCACCCTAAAACACATACAGAGTCGGGCAGTACCACGAGACACCGTTTTAATAAAACGACTAATAGTTAGCTATTTAAAAAACCACCATGGATTAAATTATATCGTTTTATTTATATTTTAAAATTATCACATCACATATATTAATTTTTTAGAATGTTCCATTCTTTTTATAAATATTTAATAAATAATAGTTTATTAAATTTCCTCCAAACATTTTTAAGCTAGATTTTTTCAATAAACCTCTTTGTGAGTTTACGGTTTCTTGATGAACAACGTAATGCAATATTTGTACCTGCTTCATTTACTAGTACAACTATTTCTGTAACTTACGATGAACTTTCATGAGTTAGAATAATTGAACGATCTCTTAGCTAATCTGCGTGTTTCCACAATCAATATAAGAATATAACCCTGTCGTTTTTTAATCATTCCCTTTCTCCAACCTTTAGCAGTCTCATTGTTTAATCACACAGGTTGTGAAATCTCTAATTCTCTCCCTTTCAAATGTAAATCATGATTTTGACTTTGTCTTTCATTTTCATTTCAAAAATTATGCTCTACATTTGGTCTTATCCAGTTCAAAGTCAAACTAGTTTTCAATGCCCACCAAACATAATCTTGGCTGGCAGGAGATCTCCCTGTAGAGATATGCTCCCTCAATCGATAGGTTGTTAAACCTTGTACCAAAGCTTCTTCTCGGTCAGAAATTGACTCTCTCGTTGCGTAATATCGACCTTTCAAGGTTCGTATTGTACACTCAGCTAATCCATTAGTTTTCGGGTGATAGGGTGTCGAACTTATATGACGCGTGTTATTTAATTCACAGTACCGACAGAATTTCCCATATATGAATTGTGATCCATTGTCTGACACAATGTACTTGGGTATTCCAAACCTAGCAAACCATTTTTATAATCGTTTAATTATAGCCTCAGCAGAGTTTTTCTGCATTAGACCAACATCTAGCCATTTGCAAAAGGAATCGACACCATATAGCCAATATCGCGAATCCACTAGTCCAGCAAAATCAATATGTATTTGCTCCCAAAATTCCTTGCCTGCAGTCCAAAAATATAGAAGTACTGAATTCAAGGTCTAATTTACTGGAATTCATAGCATATTTTAATAAAATTTTATAAATCAATATCACATCTGGGCCACCAACAATACAATCTAAAAATCGATTTCATTACATTTTCCCCATGATGTCCCCGGTTAATCATTCCTTACACTGCATTTCTTAATTTATTAGGGAATAACCAAACTCCCATATCATTCTATAATATCATGATATGGATAGAAAGCTCTTCCCATCGATTATAGAAATTAACATTTCTTTAACTTTATGACGATCAAAGTTTCGCCAGTTTTGCTGAATGTAAATTGCTATTTTTTTTAATATTAAATCCTGCTTCGACTCTTTTAATAGAATATTTTCTGACAATTGCATGTCATCTAAATTAATACTTCGAATCTCCAAAGCATGTTTAGAATCTTGATTCTTTTCCATGTCTATATCGGAAGTTTTGATAATGCGTCAGCGATTACATTTTTATTACTAGGTCTATATTCTATTGTAAAATCATAAGAAGCCATCTTCCAGGCCCAACGTGTCAAACAATTATTACTTTTTGGTAGATCCATTTTCTTCCCAAATAATTGCTCTACTGGTTTGTGAGCAGTTTGCAGTAAAAATTTTTTACCATAAATAAATGAATGAAATTTATAAATACAAAATAAAAGTGCTTGAGCTTCTTTATCAATCTGAGTAGTAGTATTTATCTGATTCTATTAAAGTACGCAATTTGAAACGAAATAGACTTTGCTCTTCCGTCTACTAATTGATGTAACAACACAGCTCCTAATCCTGAATCAGATGCGTCGCAATATTATGTGTTTACTAGTAAAAAGTGTATTTAAAAAATATTCTATTATCCTTTGGAGTAAAGGAGGGTGAGGGCGTGATCTGTCCTGGTTCTTGAGAGTGTATAAATTTTGAATATCGAACGGGGATTGGGCTTGGCGGGCCTTTTTTTAATTCATCGTGCATGATCGGGCATGTTTTGAAATTTTGCTTGAATCACTGAAAATATTTAAAAGTAATATCTTTATAAACCTCAACAATTTTACCGCAGAAATTACTTTAAGAGACTATATTCAAAATGAATTTTTTTTCTTCTTTTTTTAAATTAAACAAATTTAACAAAAAAAATGAATATATTATTAGATTTTTGAAATTTTTTTTTTTTATAAAATAAATTATTTCTTTATTTTTTTAAAGTTTTTGAAATTTGTTCAATTTTTAATCCTTCCTTTTTTGAATAATTAGAGAGTAAATGTATATCAGCACTAGCCGATTCGGGTTCTATTGAATCATTATTTTCAATAGCCAATAATCTTTTAACAGAGGAAAGACGATCGCAACTAAAATATAAATAATATTACCTTTATTATTTTTAAAATATCTACTAATGGAAATAAATATAAAAAAATTAAAATATATTTAATCATTTTGCCTTCGGTGAGTGGGCGGGTATAGCTATAAAAAAATAAATGAGTGATCGTAAATTATTTTTAATGTAGGCATGAGTGGGCGGTTCGTGAGTAAAAAATTTAGCCCGCACCCATTCTTATTTTAGATGAATAAACCATACGATATCATTTTTGTGGAATTTTTCTTTAAGCTCGTTAAATCAATTAACACATACGTATTGTATTTTCTATATATTTCTAATGGTTAGTTTATACATCTCTTAATTTTCACATTTATTGTTAGACACACAATTTCTTCAAGCTTGCCAGAAGGTTATGAAAACAATATTCGACTTTATTCGCATATATTTATTATTTTGTATACTGTTTAATTTTTATTTCTCATTGTTCCTGCTTAATAAAAATATCTACTAATAATATACTCATTTTTTTATATACCAACTCAGCCCTATATCTATTTTTTTTTCAAACTCTGATATCTCATGATTTGTGATTTTTGCGCTATTTGTTACTCACCACTATTTGTATTTCATGGACATTTTTGATTCCGCACCATTTGTGATTGCCAGGCTACACTCATCCCATTCGAAAGCCGAGCTATTTTTAAGATAATATTAACTTTATTATGTATATAATATTAATAAAATGAATCTACAATAATAATTTTTTTTATATTTTTTTAAATTCATCGTCATTCAATAACTAATTATTTGCTCTCCGTTGCACAGTCTTCCTGAATCATATTAATTATTCTCCTTTTCTTTAATATTTTTTAATTTATTTTCCAAATATAGAGATTTTCAATCTATTTGTGTTTTAATAAGAATGTTACTTCAAACCGAACAATTTCTTTCCGAAGTAAAAGTAGAAATAGAAATTGTTAGTAAAATGATATTTATATTAATGGGCATGGTGAGCTAAGCTCATTCAACTAACTTTAGGCTGGAATTTATTTATTTCATATGGAAGTTACCCCTTTACTTCTGAAATTTATGATATCATTTGAAATATTTTCATTCTCACACTTTGTAAAATAATTTTTATATCTTCATTAAATTCACTACTAGAGAGATGCCTCCCTTAATTATGGGGCCGAATAAATAAGTAGCATTGTCATCACATGTATTTAAATCGCATTTTATTTTTTCAAACATGTTTTTTTCTTCAGATTTTTTAGAATATTTGACCATATTTGACAAGGTCAATCCTCAGGTAAATTGATTGAATATGACCGGTTATTTAAACGACTTTTCAACCCTGATTCTATGTATTAGGTTGATTCATTTTGTTGTGTAGGATCATCTATATAATATAATATATAGAACATTAATAAATATTTAAATATATTATATACCTCATTTCATATAATATATCTTAATTTTTTTACCATTTTGTTTTTGTAAAACAAAAGAAGGAAATATGATAATAAAATGATATAATGCCTAAAGGTAATAAACACTAAAATTTTGTAAAAAAAATATTTAAATAAAATATTGATGTATTTTTTAAAATGGGTTCTATTTATTTAAAAATTGGGTGCAATTTTTATTATAAAATATGGTGCGTTTATCCAGCTTTAAAATTGATGTTAATTTTAAAAATGGAGTGCCTTAGCACCTAAAGCCTTTAGCTAGCGAAACCCCTGGCAATATCATCATTGACTTAATGGGACATGGAAGGAAGTCCTTCACAAATTTTTACAACCATATTTTTTCATAAATAAATAATTATTAGAGAAGGTGGTTGAATAGTATATAGACTCTTGTTCATAGAAGCTTCCATTCCATCAAATACTAGGTGTCTACTAACTTCCTTATTTATTTAGTTTTAAATAAAACTAATATAAGTTTGAAAAATAAAACTGGAAAATAGAAACAATTAGCATATATATTAAAACCACTCAAAAATATAATATTTACCTGTAATAAGATTAAGAGTGAAAGAAGTAAATACAAAGATCATAAAAAATTTATTATAATGTCAATGTCATTCTATGTTTCGAAGGTATAAGTATAAACAAACGAAGATCATCTGGATATATCTAACAGATTTTTTTTAAATGGCTTGTGCACCAATAATTATCGATAAGAGGCCTCTTAAAAAACCTAAGATTGGGCCACCTGATATTTATCCACAAGAGTTAAAACAACGAGAGGTTATATATTGTATTAGAGTTAGGTTATATTAATATTTTAGGATGATTTATCAGCAGTTAATGTAAAACAAGGCTTTTTTGATAATCCACCATTTATTGAAGAAGTTAGAATTCTATTTTTATATAATCCTATAACTATATATAGTATGGAAGTGGTAAATCTGTCAAAATATCTCATGAAACAATCTTAAATTCTTTCAATAATATTAATAAAAGGAAAAAGGAAATAAATACTAGTATAGATAATAACAAAAAAAAACTCTTATTTAACATTAAAGATATTTTTTGGCCGGTATACTCAATTAAAACATAATATAATGCATATGGAATTTATTTAGGCCACAGCAAGATCTAAAATATCAGTTGATGCATGGTTTAAAGATCTTACAGCAAACAAACCCCTAAATATATTAGCTAAAAAAGTTATTATATAATTAATGTAAAGTTGGTGATTATAAGAGTTTAATAATAAATTTTATATTTTTTTGTTTGATGCCTAAATTAAAATAAATAAATTGAAGGTTAAATTAAAAATAAAATTTATTTAAACTAGAATTATATAAAAATTTTAAAATTATTTAAATTTATATAATAATTTATATTTATTAATAAGGTGCCAATCTTCAACAAAAAAGAGGAATTGTTTATGCAACTTTATGAATCAAATGTTCCTGTTCAAAGAGCTTGCTGGATTATAAAATTACATGCTGTTCATATAGCTGCAATTGCTGAAAACAAAATGAAGAAGCGACAAGTATTGGACCCTTATATAGGTAAAATTAAAGTTTAATTTTTAAATAGTGACCCTGTAATTTAGTATGGGAGTGGGGGGTACATGCAAAATAAAACAGAGGGGGAGTGAGATACTTTATAAAAATATAAATTGATTATGAAGTTAAATAAAAATAAATGCCTTGTCTTAATCGCAGAGAAATTCTAAATATCAATTTAAATAAAAGAAATAAAACCTAGAACTGATGCAAAATCGTCATTGACATTGGAGATTGAACCAAAACTGACTCGAGTTGTGAACAGTTCATAAACTCAAGTTATTAACTCGAGCTACAAACTCAAATTATAAACCTGAGTCATAAATTCAAGTTGATAACTATTTAATTCAGCAAAAATGGAATTAGATAATATTGGATTATCTAGAAAAAGAATGCATAAAATTACTAAGATAATATCCAGCTATATATTTGGTCATGCAAAATTCCACTTTAAAATATTTATATAAAAAAAAATATGATATAAATATTTAAAAAACTAGATTTTTAGAATTTTTTTTAAAAAACTAGATTTTTAGAATTTTTTTTAAAAATCAAATATTTTACCAGGGTTGCCAGTTTCATCCTAACAATAAGCGGAAAAATTTACCCATAATTTAAAATATTTTTTTTAAAATAAATAATATTAATTTTTTACTTCAGTGATTATTTCTTAAATGAATATATTATATATAATAGGCAAAAATAAAGGAAGATCTTATATTATTATTATTTAAATATAAAATTGATAAATACACACAAAATATTTTATAAAATCAGTGCATATATTTATTTTCATCCATATTTTTCAGAAGATTTTTTTAGTATAATTAAAATTATATCTGATCATTAATTTTGCTCCAAAGCTGATAAAGATAACCGATTATGATCTTTACCTCAGAAATTTTTCATTAAACTAAATATGCACCCTGAATCAGCATTTGAATTTGGTAACGAATAATATTGCATATTTTTTCAAGATTTGACGCAATTTTCTATGAAAAAATAACTATCCATTTGGTTTCATGAGCCAAATTTGATATATTATTGGTTTGTTTAATAAATTTATTAAAACGACGAATTCCTGAAATTTTCTAATTTTATATCTTTTATATTAAAATAGATTATTATTAATTCAACTTCCTCGAATTTGAATTTATTTTCAAGTGTCATAACATTTAGATTTTTTAAATTTATTATAATTCGTATTTTTTCTAAATACGAAATGATTGTTTTAATATATTTATTAGCTTCATTTTGAAATGATGTGAGTTCGTCATGACCATCACATTTTATAAGGTTTTTCTTACAAACGACCCATAAGAAGTTATTAATAACTTGAGTTTTAAAGTTAAAACTAATGTATTCATTAGTGAAAACATTTCTACTGCAATTCAATTTTTGGATTGCAATTTTTTAACCACGTTGTTTAAGGTCGTCTTCATATTAAAACATAGGCCTGAATAAGCCTCGGCTAATTCATCTTAAAAAAATGATTTTAATGTTGAATTGGGATTTTTGTGGGATAAAAAATAAGATTAACAGAGAAATATTTTTATAAAGTCTTTCGAGAACCTAATCTGAATTAATAATTACCATTTTGTTAAAACACTTCATAAGTGTTCCTTAAATTTTTTTTATATCACGAACTCCTCCATGACTGAATTTTATATTGCATATTATAAAAATTGCATTTAAACTATTTTCTTTATTTTCTCTGACCCACAAATAAATGAAAATCCAGGTATTTAGATATTGCGATTTAAATTTCTTTTTGGATGTTAAACTTGTCTTTAAACTATGATTTAATGGAATAAAACTGGAAAAGAAATGAAATATCAGGAGAAAACTTTATTTAATTAATTTTAAAAAATTATTAGGCTTTATAAAACTGTTAAAATTTGCTTTAAACTTCTAAAATATCATTTCACATTCACATATAAATCATTTTCATTATCAGAAAAAGAGGAAGTAATTATATGATTTATCATAACAATTTGCCTTATAAAATGAAAAGATATAAATTGGAAAGATTTGGAGATCGAAAAAATAATTTTTTTTTATAGAATTCTTTGTTTTTCCTTTTCTCGAAATATGGATAAAAAATTAACGAAAACAAGATACCTTTAAATATATGATTTAATTAAAATAAAAAATATTCGCGTAAGTTTCTGGGTAAGTTAATTCTATAGTTAAATAATTTATAAATCGGGAGAAAGTCTAAAGTAATAAAAGGTGTGTTTTGGCGTAAACTAAAGTAAAAAAATCGGGAGATCTGGCAACTGTAACTAGTGCTGTAAACATTTCTGAAAAAATCGCGTTCAACGTTCATTGAGTTCAAAATTTTATGATAAATTTATTTAAAATTTAATCTAATATTTATAAATGTCTAATATTTTTTAACACAATATATTAACCAAGTTAAAAAATAATATAGTTTTATTTTGATAATCTTATTATAAATACAATATATTATAGCAAATAAGAAGATATTTTTATTTATAAAAAATTTTTCTTATTAATTTTTAATAACAATTATTTTTCAAAATTTTCTTCTGATAGACAGGAACGCTTGGCAGTTAATTCGGCATTAGGTATAATAAAAAGGCGCTCTACAGGGGCAGAGGAGGGGATTGCGGTATTATACTTAGTAAACAACTCTTAACGTGGGGAATTTATTAAAAACATTAATTGTTTGGTTCTTTGCTCAAAAAATCGAGATAAGTTATCCTCTTCAAATCCATACTCTACTTCCTCGTCAAATAAATGGATATCTCAAAATTAACAGTTTTTGGGTTTTCAATGCAAATAACGCTATAAGTTTATTTTTTATAGGTTTATCTATATGGTCATTGAAGCTTGAATGTATAATTGCAGAAAGAAAATATTTATCTTCATATATATATGTTCAAATCTTTAAAAAAATAAAATATATGTAATTTATTTGATAGTGATAGGTTTAATACATTTTATTAAATCCATTTAATACTGCGTCTATCAATGGTTTACCATATTTGAGGCCATTCATTTTTTTAAATTTTAAAATAACTATCGTTATTGTTGGAGTCAAATAGCCCAAATGCATTTTTTCTTCAAATTTTATGATTTTATTTAGTTATATTACATAAAATAATTAATATTATAATTAAATGCCGTTTTAAATTGAAACTTGAAGATTTTGACACTGATAGAATACTTTTTGTGCACATTTTACACTTGGTAATTAAATTACTTCCTTCAATATAGGATGTTACTTATAAAATATTTATCATATTTGGCCATGGTAATGTTAATTCATCTGATTTTGAATTTTCAGAATCAGAATCAATGATGAAATAGTAATTTCCATGCTTAAGCTTATCTATTAAATTAAAATATAAACATAATAGGGGTACAGCCCAAAGTACCCTGTGGGCCTCCCCATCCGCCTACGACAAAAAGAAGGATGGGAAACCTGGTGGAACCACTATTCATGAAAATAAAACTTATGACGGCCATAAACGACCTGATAAAAAGTAGAGAAACCATTTTACGGGTGATCGATATAGGGTCGCGACATGGAATATTGGGAGTATGATGGGAATAGCGAGAGAAGTCTTCGATGTATTGCACAGAAGGCATATAGATGTGTGCTGCATACAGGAGACTAGATGGAAAGGAAATGGGACCAGAATGATTGGCAAGACTAGCGAAAAGTATAAATTCTTTTGGCAAGGAGGTAATGATGGCAAGGCCGGAGTTGGGGTATTGGTTGCGGAGAAATTGGTAGACAAAGTAGTCGAAGTGAGAAGGCTAGACAACCAGATAATGGTTATCAAGATGATTTTTGGTAGAAAGCTATATAATATTATCTCGGCATATGTTCCTCAGGTTGGAAGAAGTGAAGAAGAGAAAGATATATTTTGGGACAGTCTATTGGGGATGACATCGAGACTGGCAAATGAAGAGTGGATTATCCTGGCTGGTGATCTGAATGGACATGTGGGAGCGAGTAGTGAGGGTTATGAAGGAGTACATGGAGGGTTCAGTTATGGCATGAGAAATTTGGAAGGAGAAAGGATTTTAGATTTTAGTGATGCTATGGATATTATTGTCTATGATACAATGTTTAAGAAAGAATCAGAGAAGCTGGTGACTTATAAGTAGGGTAGTACCAAAAGTGCGTGGATTACTTGTTATTAAGGAGATGTGATCGATGTATAGTAAAAAATGTGAAAGTGATACCGGGAGAGGAATGTATAAATCAGCATCGACTAGTTGTAGGAGATCTCACTCTTAAAGGTGCCAGGGTCACTAAAAGAAAGTTTGTCCCAAGGCTGAAGGTTTGGAAATTGAAGGAGGAGAGCGCTAGACTTCAATTCAATATGGCATTGGCGATTAGGGAGGCGGAGGTGGCACAAGCATCTGTGGTGAATGACAAGTGGGAAGCCATGAAGAAAGCCTGGGTAATGACAACTGAGGAGGTATGTGGATGGACAAAAGGGCCGCCTAGACATAAGGAGACTTGGTGGTAGAACCCGAAGGTAACGAAAGCCGTGGATGAGAAACGGAGGTGTTTCAAAGTATGGTATAATAGCAAAGAAAATAGTGATAATGATATTTACAAGATGGCTAAAAGAAATGCCAAGAAATTAATAGCGAAGGCTCAAGAAGAAAAAAGACACGAGTTTGCTAAAGAAATGGAATGCGCTGATGGAATTGGAAACAAAACAGATGTCAAAAAAGAGGCCGGATGTGATAGGTGTAAAGTGTTTGAAAAATATGGAAGGAAAAATGGCGATTGATGGTAGTGGTATTAAAAACACCTGGAAGATTTACATGAAATCACTTTTGAATGAAGAAAATGAATGGGATAATAATATTAGTTGTGCAAAGGTAGAAGGTCCAGGGTGTAAATTTGGCAAGGACGAGATAAAGAGAGCAGTGAAAAAGATGAAGAAAGGGAAGGCATCGGGTTTAACGATGGTGGTATCAGAGATGTTTAAAGGTTCTGATGATTTAGGGAT